TCCCAAGTAGCTGGGACCACAGGTACCCACCACAATGCCCAGCTATTTTTTTTGTTTGTTTCAGTTGCCACTGCTGTTTTACCTGACGGGGGCTGGGTTTGAACCCACCACCCTTGATATATGAGGCTGGTGCCCTACCCACTGGGCTGCAGGCACCACAGCACCCCCCCCCTTAAAATTCTTAAAAGGTGATGGCGCTTCTTACAAGCTTTGGAGTCAGGTAAACTCAGTTTGAGTTCAAACACTATCACTTCCCACATGTGGGCTGTGAAGTTTGAGCAAATTATATAAATATTTTAAATTTTAATAATTATCCATAGTTCACAAGTCGATTCCTAAGGGAATTAACCTGAATTTCTCTTTTTCTTATACCCCATCCCAAGGGTGTCAACCCTGTTTAAAACACTATGATGTTTTTAGGGAAAGCTGAAGTGTGCTTTCAAAGCTAGTTGATTATCATTTCACTTTTTTGCCTATTGTATTCTCAGGGCACCCAAGGTTTATTAGTTGCTGTTCAGTTCCCTCTGTTAGCTAGTCTCAGGTGACACGTAGGGAATACAGACATGAGTTTGTTTCAAACAGGATACGAAAAAAATCCTCCAAATTAGAACCCAAGTTTCTCCCCTACCTCCAGAATACTTTCTGTAATCATAATTTAAAAAGAAAAAAACTTTGTCTAGAAATAAAATCAGTTTGTAGCAGACCATCTAGCTTCATGGGAAGGAGAGAGAGCAAACCTCAGAACACTCTGTAACTATAAGAAACACCTGTGGGGGCGGTGCCTGTGCTCAAAGGAGTAGGGCACTGGCCCCATATGCCGGAGGTGGTGGGTTCAAACCCAGCCCCGGCCAAAAAACTGAAAAAAAAAAAGAAAGAAAGAAACACCTGCGATATAACATCTCGGTAATAAAACACCTTGGTAATGAGACATGGGGAAGGGATTCGCCTCCCCTTAATACGAGAGCTCGAGAGACGAGAACACCAGTGCTTGGCAGTCTCTATACCTGTGGTGCAAGTAGCCACAGGATCACGTCTATAAGAAGCTGCAGGAGAGGCCAGTCGGGAGCCTGCGTGCCATTCTCTCCCGAACTCACTCACTCTGGCTCTTTCACTTCTCTGCTCGTAGGGTATCTGCCCAGCGTCTCGCTATGAAGACTGCTAAGATTTCCTTTCTTACTAAGACTGTTTCTCTCTCTCTCCCTTCTGCTAAGGCAAATAGCCCTCAGGCACCTGAGAATAATTGTTCCCCAGCAAGATAACATCGCAGTCCGTGTCTGGACAACAGATAAGCCGGAGTGGAGACCTGGCAAATCGCACCCCAACAAGCGACGTCAAGGATGGGATAGTGAATAGCCACTGGCAGATGTTGAATGTGAAGGCCAATAGCCAGTCTATGGAGGCTTTTTATTGATATGACAAATTTAGGTCATCTTTTTCTTTTTCTTTCCTTTTTTAACTTAATTTAATTTTATTTTTTTGAGACAATCTCACTCTGTTGCCCTGAATTGAGTGCCTTGGTGTCACATCTCACAGCAACCTCAAACTCTTGGGCTCAAGTGATCCTCTTACCTCAGTCTCCTGAATAGATGGGACTACAGGCTCCCACCACCACACCAAGACCTTAGTAGAGATGGGGTCTCACTCTTACTGAGGATGGTCTCGAACTCCTGAGTTCAAACAATCTACCCGCTTCTGCCTCCCAAAGTACTAAGTTTGCAGGCATGAGCCACAATGCCTGGCCAAATTTGGACCATTTTAAGTTTAAAAAGGAAAAACGGAAGAAACTCTGATTATAATAAACTCTTGGTCTGTAATCCAACTGTACAGAGCTCTGATGAAAGGACTGTTACCCGTTTACAAGCAGTCTGTGCAGTGTGGTCCCTGGGAGGCTCTGCCAGAGGGGGTGTAGTGTCAGCCACCGCTGCTCATTCTCCTGCAGCTGCAACAGTTTGGTCTCAGACGGTTCCCTGATATAAGGAAAAGACAAGACGAATATTCAAAGCTCAGTGATCTTTGAACGGGGAACAGGCACCATCATATATAGCATCATTGCCTTTTCTAAAAATGAAACATTAAGTCAACTTTCCAAGAAAATTTGGATTAGTACAGTTTTGGCATGGACTCTGATAAGCAAGAGAGAAAATTACTAAAAGTATACAAAGGTAATAAAGATCCAAATTGTTACAGCTGTTTGAGTCTTGCTGCTGTCATATATTTGAACTTCATGAGGTGTTAGAATTCTAACACAATGTAAAAGTTCCAGCACCTGGACACAAGAATAACTAAGCAGAGATCAGAAGTAGAATAAAATATATCTAACTAGAATTGTTTTTTTTTTCTTCTTTTCTTGCCCACTGTAATCATGTAATACAGCAATACTTTAAAATAAACAAGGAGAATCAATGGCCATTTTGTGTCTGTTTAGACAACATAAACCTTGTAACTGGAACTTGGTCACATATTGCAAAATCTTTATGCATCTAAGCAGCTTTTCTGAGTATAATCATTAAATTTACCTAAAGCAAAAATTGTTATGCACTAAAAATTAAGGAAGCCTTGGAAAAAAGAGACAGAAGTTAGACAACATCATTTGTTCTTTACCTATATTCTCACTCAACCTCTACCAATACTTTCCTGTGGAGTTCTCTCCTTCAATCATTCAAATAAATATGATTACACTGTATCCAAGATTTTAAAATGTAGGCTTTGAAGTATTAAAGGTTTTCTATAAATATTTTATCTTTCATGAAATGATTGGTGCTTACCTCAGGTGACCCACATTTGAAAGCCTTTTGGATTTTTAATATAAATAAAAACATAGTTACCCGACACTTCCAAGGGTAGAAGAGTTAGAGGGGTTCATTTTAGACTGGAGGAAGGAGGGCGTCTTCTGAAACTGGAAGTAATGAGGGAGAAGGAACCAAGCACTTTGCTGGAGGTGGAGAGGGAGAAAGCAGGAACTTGAGAGAATTGAAATCAGATAGAAATCCTCCACATTTCTTTTTAAATACGAGTTAAGCTCCTTTGGTGAAAGTTGGGGGGTGGCAGGTGCACTTGACTATGAAGAAAACGATGTGGGCAGTGATGTGTATGTGGGATTATTCCCGGTGGAGTTCAGACAAACACATAAAAGCTAACTTTGAAGAATGCCAAATATCTTTGAGGGTCCAGAGGGACTTGGAAATACTGAAGCTCTGGGAGCACCAGGTCTGTCTGCTGTGACTTTTTTTAATAATTGGATGTCATTTTTTTTTTCAAAAAAGAAAAAAAAAAAAGGAAGGGTGAGAGGAAGAGAAGAAAAGTTAGAATCAGGGGCATTGAGAGAAAAATTATCATTTCTCCTGATTATTAATTGTTAAACTATTGTAGCCACATGGTAGAAAGTGAAAAGAACAAAAACCTCCCTGGACTCTGATACTTTTAAAAAGACAAAGAAGAACCTGCTAAAGAGAATACCTGATGAAAAGAAAAGAAGCAGAGATTAAAACCAGAATCGACACACCTGCAATCCCAGCACTCTGGGAGGCTGAGGCAGGAGCACTGCTCGAGGACAGGAGTTTGAGAAAAGCCTGAGGAAGAGCAACACCCCATCTCTACGTAAAATAGAAAAACTAGCCAGGTGTGGTAGCCGGTGCCTGTGGTCCCAGCTACGCAGGAGGCGGAGGCAGGGGAATTGCTTAACCAGGATTTTGAGCTGCAGCTTTGAAGATACCACTGCATTCTAGCCAGGGCCCTACAGGGAGACCTTTAAAAAACAAAAGCCAGAAAATACCAGTGTTTAATAATAAAATATTTGATTTTAAGACAAGTTTCATAAGTTCTGGTCAGACTGCAAGAAGTGTTGCACAAGATCTACATTTACTGAGAAAGTGGACGGACTGTTAGGTTTCTGAAGGTATTACCACACCTACTACAAAATAAGCATCTTCCTTCTCCTTGACCCAAATGAAAGTCTCCAGAAGTGCTTGTGTGTGCGTGGAAAGAGTAAAAGTCAGAGGCCACACATACCAGCCAGGGTGCTTCTTCTTATGTCTGTATCCTGAGAATTCCTTTCTGCAACACAACCTTGAACCTTTGGCAAAAGCCACAGGAAGATCAAGTTTTGATTTTCTTGTTTAATCAAGGCATTCCCCAGGGCCACAAGGGGCTTGCATGCGAAGTATAGTTTAGCATAGGATTAGCGCTGTTGCCGGATACAAAAATCATTGCAAAGAACCTGAAGCCTTGGGCAGCGCCTGTGGCTCAAAGAAGTAAGGAACCAACCCCACATGCCGGAGGTGGTAGGTTCAAACCCAGCCCCAGCCAAAAACTGCTAAAAAAAAAAAAAAAAAAAAGAACCTGAAGCCTTCGAACTCACAAAGCCCCTCCACTCACCCCAGGGAAGGGTTCCATGGAGAATCGCACATGGGACGCTTTTGGGTTTCATTCATTAGCTTCCAAGAAAAAAGACAATTTAGCTAGAATTTATTAAGTGGAAAATTGAAGAAACTCATCCTCAAGGAGAGGGGCGTGTCATTAAAAACATTGGTTTTTCGTGGAATTCTTACAACACGAGCAAGCCTCTCAAACACAAAAATAAATCTCTTCGTACTAGAAATGTCACCGTATGGCCCATTTGGAAAATCCGTGAATCCATATGGCTGTGTTTCTGCCGCCGCATGGAATCTGAGCATCTGCCCGACTTCAGTTTTTCTTACTCCTTTTGGTTCCAGCTTTAGTGAGGAATACTTGCCAAATAAAAATCGTGTCTAGTTAAGGTGTACCACGTGCTGTATTTGGCAGATGTGAGATGGTTACCACACTCAAACCAATTAACTTAGCTCTCATCACACACAGTTAACCTTTGTGTGTCTATATGTTCCGTAAAAACACTTAAGACCAAGAATCTGAGCAGATTTCCAGCACACGGTGCAGTATTATTAACCATGCTAGGTTGTACATGACATCTCCAGACCTTATTCACCCACATTACCGAACCTTTGTACCCTTTGACCAACACATTTTTCCCCACTGCCCAGTTCCTGGCAACTAACTCTACTGCTCTTACGACTTGACTTTCAAGATCCCCCACGTAAGTGGGATTATGTGGTGCTTGTCCTTCTGGGCCTAGCTTACTTCACTTAATGTAATGTCTATAATCCACTTAATGTCTCTAAGTTAACCCAGGTTGTCTCAAGTGGAAGAATTTCCTTTTTTCTTACAGGCGAATACTATTCTATTGAATGTTGTATGTGTGTTTACATAAATACATACACACATCTTTTTTTTATCCATTCATTTGACAACAGACACTTAGGCTGTTTTCTTATCTTGGCTGTTATGAATATGGGAGTGTAGATACCACATTAACAAACTGATTTCATTTCCTTTTGATATATGTCCAGAAGTGGGATAGCTGGATCGTATGATAGTTCCATTTTTAGATTTCTGAGGAACTTCCATATGGTTTTTCATAATGGCCGTACCAATCAACGTGCCGACAACATACAAGGTTCCCTTTCTCCACATCTTCACCAACGTTTTTTATATGTTTTGTCTTTTCGATACTAACCATTGTAACAAGTGTGAGATGATATTTCATTGTGACTTTAATTGTATTTGCCTGATGATTAGTGAGTTGAGCACCTTATCTCACACCTGTTGGCCATTTCTATGTCTTCTTTTGAGAAAAGCCTATTCAGGTCCTTAGTCCATTTTTGAATCAGGTTATTTGCTTTTTTGATATTAAGTAGTTTGAGTTCCTTCTGTATCTTAAATATTCAGCTCATCAGGTACATGGGGTTTTTATCATTTAAAAAAAATGTGAAAAGGGGCCTGAATAGAACAAAAAAGTGAAGGAAGCTGAATTTGCTCTTTGTAAGATGGTGTCACGCTGTGTTGCTCAAGCTAGTCTTGAACTCCTAGCCTCAAGCCACCCTCCTGGCTCTGCCTTTCACAGTGCTGGGATTATAGGCACGAGCCACTGTACCTGGCCAGCATCAGATAATGGCTTCTTGGCTGAACTGGCCAGATGGCAGACCAGAGGCAGTCTGCTCACACCACCCTCACAGAGAGGAGAGAATGTTGCAGCTGGATGCCCATCTACAGATGAACCTCCTGGAGACAGCATTTTGAATCATCAGAGAAGCAATAGGGAGCACTCTGAGGGATGAAGAGGATCCACTTGGCAAGCTCAGAAGGTACCTGGGAGAGGCGTCCTCACAAGAGGAATGATGGAGGAGAGAACTCAGAACTCCATGATCCTGACCCCCCTGTGGCCTGAGCTATGAGGGCCACCCCACAGCTGCCAGTGCAGGTCACTGTACTGATCAGGAGGCTGCTTGGCGTCTGTGCAGCAACAGTAAACCAGAGCACAGGTGCAGCAGAGACACAGCAGTGTCTGTTCCCAGGTCACTGGAACTAATGCCACTCTGAGCTCTTAGGCTCAGAGCTCCTGATCCACTTGGGGTGTACCCTGCTACAGCCACCTCCACATCGCCCTGGCCAGGCCTGGGAGGAAGCAGGGAGAGCAGATGCTCCACCTGCTCTGTGACCGGGAAGCAATCATCCCTCTCCCCATGGGGTATTTGAACAGAACTGGTTCTACCAATGCCCTCTGAGAAGCCCTTTGGTAACGGCCTCAGCAGCACCAGGCAGGGACGGGCATCCCAAGTGCCCAGAGGCCCAGCGCTGTGCCCCACCCCCCCAACACCCATGCTACCACCTGGCCCAGTCAGTGTAGCTCCTGAGCTGCTGCTGGGCCCCACAGCACAGCCCACGCAGCTCCTGCACTGCTGCAGACCTCCACTGATCCACCTCTAAGGCCAGAGCATACTCGAGTATTTATCACAGCACAACTCACAATTATCAAGATGTAGAATCAACCTCAGTGCCCAGAGCCCATCAATTCATGAGTAAATAAAATGTGGTGTCTGTGTATATTAGACACACCGGAGAATACTACTCAGCTGTAAAAAGGAATGAAATA